GGTGCTATGACAAACACCGGAATACGATTAATTCAGCGCAACCCCATAGTGTCTTTCATCGATACGTCAGCTACGGACATCTTTTCCTGGCTCATCGTTGCTTCTGTCTTTTTATACGTCATTACTTTCTTTTCTTTCAATTTCTCTTTTGGAACTTGTTTATAATACAACTTTTTTTTGTTTCTCCTTTTACTGATTGTCCTAGTTATGGTTTGTTAAACATAACCATTTTTTCTTAAAGCCTACATTATAAACCTAATAATTGCTCCAAATACACTAATCAGAAAATATTAATTAAATATTCTTTGATATGAATTTTACAATTTCTTAATAATTTACTTCAATTACATACAACTTAATTAACGACAAGAATGCATTCGTGTATTATATGCATTATACGCATATTACTTGAATATCATTATACTTCGTATAATATATCTCAATATATTTCTATAATATACAAATTTGCTTAAACAACCATCAAAACATAATAAAAAAATGAATCAGTTAATAATTAAATAAATCTATCACATAATATTTTAATTGAAACTGTAAGATTGTCTAAACAGACATTTTGCTTGGTATACTTTATAATTATTAGCATCAAATTAAATGATCTTGAAGATGGTAGTGAGCTAATTTCCTGTCTTCATTTGACGTCGCAACGTCAACCCTAGGAAGAACATGAATCCTTTTCTTACGCAAAGAATTAAAAAAGAAAAGCTTTCTTTTGAGATGGTACGATTGAAATGAAAAAGGAGAGGCTGAATTTCCGGCTGTGCACGATATCGCAGTCCCGCTGTTTGTCCACTTAAGCAGTGTCTACGCAGGCCATTTTCTTTTTTAATCAGTGCCAACGACTTCAAAGTCAATCGAGTCAAAGGACACCGAGAATAGTGAGAGAACGAGAGAGAGAGAGAGAGAGAGAGAGAGAGAGAGAGAGAACCAAATGTCAAAAAGAGTCTTAATCAAGTCGGCTTCCCCCATTCGTTTTCAGCTACGCTATTTCCTACCTCTATTTTTTTTTGCATCACTCGCATGTCGACGCCTGTCTCCTTCCATCGCAATAAATGCTAATCACTAGTCCACTAATCAAGCGAAGTATATTTAATATGCTTTTTTCTTGCTTGGTTGGCTAATGAAAGACCAACAATTATTATTTACCCATGATTTTAGGATGAATTGTCAAAGGTTGCCTATACAAGCATTAATTAAATTTAATCTATGAATAAGCAAATAATGTAAAATGTATTTAAAAACGAGCTCTCTTTGTTAAATTTGCTATATCTGTAATGATGCTTCATTAAAATATGAGTTTATTAGATTTTAAATTAAAATTTGTCCTTATCTATCTATTAAAAAAGATACATTTATTTTTAACAAATGATTCATTTTTTTTTATTAAATTGGTATTTATTATATTTAATTTGTATATTAAATTTGTAAAATTATTTATTTTAGGGCTGGCGTTTGGGACAACTGTCGAGCAGCCTATGAGGACATCGTCAAACAACTCGAAAGGTATGATTTCATATATTCGTTACGTACATGGCTAAAATTTAATTCTATTTTCAAACGAGGGAATTAGCATTAATGTTTATTAATATAGAGATATAAGTGATATTAGCTATTTTGAGAATAATTATTTAGGAAAGATCTGAATGTCGGAATGTGATGCAGAAATGAGAAGATAAATGCTTGCTAAAAGAGCGCTAATTTAATATTAAATACTATGGCTAGATCCTTAGAAAGTCAAGATAAGGTCTTTTTTTTTAAGATTTGATCTTTCATTAATTTAAATATTAATGTTGTCGTTTTCGACATTGTTAATGTTGTTTTTGTCGTTGCAGTTAATTAATATTAATTATACCACAATGTTGTAAACAACAGTAAAGTTACCTCATCGTGTTTTTTAATGTATCGTGTCTTAGAATCGTTCACAAATAATGAAATAAAAGATGGTGATAAGGAAATCTGTATATATTCATTAATTACTTCAGTTAACGCGTTTTCGACGACGCATCGCGAAAATAATTGACGAATAATTTAATTAAAAGGTGACACGTAAACAACTTGGATGGCTTTTTCGTCGACAAAAGTACGATTTCATTACCTCATTTTGCATTGAGAGTTACACGATTTCCATAAAATGCTTTTTCGAAAGACCGGGAGTAATATATTTTGATATTCTACTATTCCACCGCTGAGGGAGAGTAGTCTGGGAGAGAGGAGCAAAGAGAGATGAGTGGGCGATTGCGAGGAGGAGGTTGGAAGCTACTAAATCAGTGATGCAGAGGTCAATCGACAGTCCAGCGCTTAAAGTCTTTAAAGCTCGAAGTTGCAGGAGCATTGAATCGACGCGGAGAAAAAGGTGAGCAGAAGAGGGTTGGCGCGGGCAAACAAAGGTTTACATCAGTGTCAGTCGCAACAAGTCCGATTCTAACGGGAAATCTCCCCCCCCCCCGGCCGCGCCGCATGAATATTCAAGCTGACCGCTCGTCCGTACCCTTTCACAACCCCCGCCCGTCGAACCGGTCAAAGGCTCGAAATCACAATACGCGTTTGTCCGGCTGACGGGAGCGCGGCCGGGTAAATATAGCCCCTCCCCCCCAGCTCTTCGCCAACCATCACCATTGGAAATAACGCTCGCTCTCCCATTCAAAGTGTCCATTTTCGTACAGTACGCTTCGGTGCCTATGAAGCTTGACTTTGTCTTTCGCTTGTACGCGTTTTTACCCTTTGCTACCACCCGCGGACACCCAATAAACCTGGGCGGGAATTAATTTACCTTTTGTACTAATGGCTTGGGGGAAGTGAGAACGCCGATGCTTGCGGTGTTGGCGGCTTTTATTCTATTGATGCAGTGCTACTGCATTTGTCACTCTATAAATTCTTGTGGATGGGGGATCTTCTACGGACGCTGGTTACTTTTTGAGGAACATTGAACCTCACGATACCGATAGGTTCTTATTGTACGAGGCCACTTGCTTCCTATACACTTTGTGATTCGCTTTTTTATTGGATTTTGAGGGTTATAAGAATCGCTCTACAATTCGCTTTTTGATATCATTAGTAAAATACGATCTGCGTATCAAAGTATGATAATGATAATTCTAATTCAGTGATATGTTTAATGGGAATTCTCGCATCAATTCGACTCGCACATTCCAATATCAAGAATAAATGAACGAATCGAAGGGAATCGAAGGGATATTGACTCACTTGGAGACAAGTTAGTCGATGTCGATCCACTAGGAAAGTCCCTTTTGTGAGACATGCAAACTTCATAGCAAAAAGTGACTCACCAACGTAGCATTTAAAGAGGCCGCAAAAAAGTGGCGGCAGTCAAGCTCATGTCGAGCGGGTGCACAAAGTATTTTAACAGAGAACGAGGGCGATAGAGACACGGCGCTATACACTCGGAATGATTTAATCCCAGAATGATGGACGGCCGTGTCGCGACGATGATCTGCGTCGCGGAAACTGACAAGTGGTTAGGATCAGAGAGCGATTCCCTCTCCCTCGCGTCGTCCCACTCTTATACACAAGTGCGCGCGCACATACACACGCGCGCGCTAACATAGAAACACCCCCTCCCCCCTCCCCCTCATTTCTCTCTGTGATTTGGTGCTCGGTGCCCTGGCTAAGAGAAAGAGGGAAGCGAGAGTCGCAATGTTTGGTGTACCGAGAGTGTTAGCCGAGAGGCTCACTCGCGCTCTTCCTCCACGGGGCACAAATCATGCGGGCATTAGTGCGTCAAGTCCCGCGAGCCACAGTCAAGCGGAAACTTGACGTGCGCGACGCTTAATACTGATTTATCGAGGCCGCGACGACATCGACGCCGCTTTGGATTTCGCACCCCCGACCGGATGTGCCCGCGGCGATGGCCAATGATCCTCAGCTACCGGATAACGGTGATGGGACGCCTTTGCCGAAATTCATCGAACTCCACCCCATGAATTTGGCTTTCCCTTCCTCCTTCCGCTCCTGCTCAATTATTCTTTTGTCAAGGTACTTAAATTTAGTAAGCCAGATGACTATGAGATTTTTAATACGTTGCAAATAAATATTTGAAAGTAATAGAAATTAAACCTTACATCTAAAAAAGTCTTATTGAAGTCAGTATTAAAGCAAACATGATTATCCATGCTACTAACTTATATGGTATTAGATTAGCTTTAGAAAAAAGTAAATAATAATTTGCGACTGTTGATTTATATCTTTCAATTCAGGATATTGTGAATATTATATAAAACTTCCACCTTGTTTTATTATAGAAACTGTTTTATATATCATAAATAAATTTAAGAAGTGTATATCCGATCTAGCTGAATACGAATTGGAGTAATATTATGAAATAAGTGTTTGTATGTCTATTTAAATAGTAGTCTGAAAATGATTAAACAATGACATCGGCCAATGGTAGTGACTGGAGGTAGAGAGACAGTGGCAGGAGGGAAAGATAATAAACTACTAAAGTAATAACGAAATAATAATGAAGCAACTGTTGCCGCGTCGCTCAAAAGCAAGCGTTCGCGCGCGGAGCTTTGATTAATTTTGTGATTTTGGGATTATTAATCGAGCATCTCCTTTGACACGACGGGAAGACCTTCTCGTTGAGCATTCGCCTCGGCTTTCTAAATCCTGATGATTTGTTTATGCTAATCCATCCGGGCTCCCTGAATTCCGCCGACGGATCGCCACGCACCGCACTGCCAGATTACGCTCGCCAGTTATTTATGACGTTTCGTTGTATCAACTACGGCTAATTAAATCTCTGCTGAAACTGAAGCTGCCAGGATTTCCTCATTACGTCAGGCGTGTTTTAAAGGGAAAATAAATTTTTGAATTACGATTTTATGTAAGATCATACGCTCGATGTTCGCAGCAGGAAGAACAATACATAAGAAGTAATAACCGTACAGAAAAATTTAAATTCCAATAAAATTTCGCGAAGGTAAAATTTAGATAAAGTTATATTATAATCAATTAATTATTACTTGATTCAGGAATTTCTTTAGCACTAATAATAGATACAGATATATACGCAGGCACAAGTGCACGCCTATCTGTACAAGACTCACACATATTGCAATGAACGCATTCAATTATTAATATTGCAGGAAGTTGTGATATTTTAAAATTTTATAATTTACTCGCTAATTAAAACGTAACGAAAATTCATAAAATCATAAGAACCCAAATTTAATCTACTTCAAAAAGAAATATAATAAAATTTTGTTTTTGATTAAATTTTAAATAAGCATATATATATATATATATATATATAATATATATATATTCATATTTTATCTTGCATGTTCCTTGTTTTGACTCTGTTTTTTAGACAATTATTATTTCAAGTAAAAATAAAAGTCATTTTAAATTTACGTATGTTATTACTGAATTGTTGATATATTTTTTACAAGCCAAGTGTTTTAATAAGACTTTATAGAGTGAATTTGTACTCAATTGTAAACTGGATTTTACCAACGATGTTATCTTAATAAAATTGCTTTCTTTATTAAATGCGTATCTTTGTAAAAGCTACATTACATGAATTTCATGTTCATAAATTACTTTCATATTTAATTTTCTTTCATAAATTCATCTAAAAGAACGAATAATAAAGATAATATGTAGTTTTATTTGTTTTTTTTTTGTTAACAATTTTTTTATTTATTTCACCTTATTTGAACTCTTAATAATTTAAATAGTTTTCCATATAGTAGAATTACGTAATTGATTTGACTTTCTTAGGAAGTTTAATTAATTTACATATAATTGTATCTTATACAAATATTATTATTTTATATTTAATTTTTGTTTTATTTTTAAATATGCCTAAAAACAATGTAATGATAATTATATACAATATATAAATAGATAATTATCAGTAACTACATGAAATATTGAAAAAAATGACAATTTATGCCAGCTTAATATTTATATTATAAAATTATTAGGATCAATTGAGCATGTAGTGAAATAATTACATCGAAAATAATAATGTTTAAAATTCACTCTATCATACGAGAGTTGCGTATGGGGGGCAAAGAGAAGGTAGTATCCAAGTTGATACAAAGTGTCTGCTGCCTAATATACGAAACTTCTATTAAAATAAAGATTCACATTTTTCTTACTTCTATCTTCCTTATTCGTCGTAGTTACTCTCTCTCTCCTTCTTTCTGTCTGTCTTTCTTTTTTTCCTATACAGAGATACTCACGTGAGATGTTGAAAATGGGCTCGACAAGACCTACAACTCCAGCGGTGGTAAGTGATATTAATGACGGCCTCTCCCTTCCTTATCCAAATATGGCTCACGAATTTTCGAATATCAATATGATCGTGCGATTTCGCTATTTTCCGTTTCCTTACTTAAAATTATTTAGTCATTCTTGTACAATTTATACATATATTGTCATTTATGCGTTATTATTGTGTCCAGTACTGCACTTTTGTGGTGGGAGTAGAAAATAAGTCTAGAAAGATAGAAGGATGACAGAAAAAATTTTTTTTT